CCCCAACTAAACACCGCGAGGGCTTGATTTGGCCGTGTGACAACCAGATCTACAGAAGGGAGAAGGGAGCACATGCCAAGCTATCTTCCAAGCCAAGCCAACTTAAACATCTCAAATGATCGTTGTAAAGATCGCCTGCCCATGTCGCAAGTCCACTTCCATGGCAATATTCCAAACAATCAACAGGCACCACACTCTGCATTCAAACCTGAAATGTGACACCCCCCCCGGCTGGCGTGTGTGTGTGTGTGTGTGTGCGTGTGCGTGTGGGCGTGTGGGCGTGTGGGCGTGTGGGCGTGTGGGCGTGGGGGCGTGTGTGCGTGTGGGCGTGTGTGCGTGTGTGCGTGTGGGCGTGTGTGTGTGTGTGGTGTGGTGTGTGGTGTGTGTGGTGTGTGTGTGTGTGGTGTGTGTGGTGTGTGCGGTGTGTGTGGTGTGGTGTGTGGTGTGTGGTGTGTGGTGTGTGGTGTGTGGTGTGTGGTGTGTGGTGTGTGGTGTTGTGGGGTGTTGTGGGGTGTTGTGGGGTGTTGTGGAGTGTTGTGGGGTGTTGTGGGGTGTTGTGGGGTGTTGTGGGGTGTTGTGGGGTGTGTTGTGTGTTGTGTTGTGTGTTGTGTTGTGTGTTGTGTTGTGTTGTGTTGTGTTGTGTTGTGTGTGTTGTGTTGTGTTGTGTGTTGTGTTGTGTTGTGTTTTGTGTTTTGTGTTTTGTGTTTTGTGTTTTGTGTTTTGTGTTTTGTGTTTTGTGCTTTGTGTTTTGTGTGTTGTGTGTTGTGTGTTGTGTGTTGTGTGTTGTGTGTGTTGTGTGTGTGTTGTGTGTTGTGTTGTGTGTGTTGTGTTGTGTGTGTTGTGTGTTGTGTGTTGTGTGTTGTGTTGTGTGTTGTGTGTTGTGTGTTGTGTGTTGTGTGTTGTGTGTTGTGTGTTGTGTGTTGTGTGATGTGTGTTGTGTGCTGTGTGCTGTGTGTTGTGTGTTGTGTGTTGTGTGTTGTGTGTTGTGTGTTGTGTGTTGTGTGTTTGCGTATTTGTGTGTGTGTGTGTGTTTGTGTGTGTGTGAGTGTTTGTGTGTTTGTGTGTGTTTGTGTGTTTGTATTTGTTTGTGTGTGTGTGTCTGTGTGTGTATGCGCGCGTGTGTGTGTGTGTTGGTTGCCTAGCCCCACAGAAGGTGCTTTTCTCATAAGAGCCTGAGCCAACCCTAGGGCAACACAATACCAATCCAAGCCCGGATCTGGCTTTTTTCCCTAGCCAGCCAGAATCCAACGCTCAAGGTAAACGTGAAAGCCCAACCTGGCGAAGCAAAGACGAAGTCATCACACTTGATCCGCACAGAAACCAAGCCTAAACCAACCCACCCACCCACTCACCCACCCGCCCGCCCGCCCACCCACCCACCCTCCCAACCAACCAACCAACCAGGCCTGCCAAGGAATGCCAGTGCCAGGGATAGGCGAAAAACTACAAACTGTTGTTCCCCCCCCCCCCCCCCCGGGCCAAACATTTCTACCCCTCATCGCTCCTAGTTCATGTGGCCGACAGGGACCATTTCGGATCGTTTTGTAGGGGGCTAGCAAGAAAGCAGCTGGAGTTGTCGATTCCTGGCTCGCCACATTGCCAAAGTGGAAATTGTCAGTGCAGCGGCTACTTTTGGGCGCTGGCTCTGAAAGGTAGAATGGACAGTGCAAGACATGCCAGGCGTTTTGAGAGGATATATATTTTTCCTATCGCTTGATATTCCTGGCAAACCTCAAACCCACAGATCCATATCAAAGGCTCATGTTCACCGCAAATCGAATGTCGGAGTTGGTGCTGGAAATGTCGGCCGGGCAGCTTTGGCGCATGCTCTTGACTGGCATTTCCATCGAGCTCATTGTCTGCGTCTTCCGGAAGGTGTCTACTATGTTGTGGTGCGCCATCTTTGCCTTGTGTGAGCCAGCGGGAACTACAAAAAGGCGCATACGCAGCCTCAAAACCATGCCACAACCATTGCGCTAGACTGACAACCTCACGCCCACCGTTTTCCCACAATGTCCGCGGGAAGACGAAGGCGCCAGCTCATAGCTGCTGAGCCCCCCTGAAGATCTGGACACCCTCCTCTTCGAACCGAGGTTTTCGGGCATGTCTGCCACATTCAGGTCGGAAGTATTCGAGGTGTTCCGTTTGAGCTCTGGGGGGGGGCCTCCGACCACCAACTTGAACTCGTCCAGCATCTCCTGCCGAAGTGACTGCCATCAAAAAGCGAGCTCACACGTGCAAGCTTGTTCAAGCTTGCGACTCTAGCGGCTTGCATGAGTGAAGCAAATCTGCGGATCCGGGATCGGCTTCATGCAAATGTCATTGCTGCTGAATGATGGAAGGTTTGTTCCACAGCCTCAAGGTCTCCGCATCTTCAAATCGCCCCCTTTGGAGCGAGCCGGCAAGCCAATTCCACATCCCTTGGTTTCGCCGCAGTGCAAAACCCATACGATTACAAAGCTCACTATCATCCCAATGAACCCGGTTGCAGAACCTTTGGTAAATGGCTAAAAAGGGTTTTGGACACTGCTCACACACACGGCTCTGGCCCAAGAATAGGATACCCTCCCACCGCCCCTTCCCACGCCCCCGATTTGCAACAAAAACACCGGAGCCAAACATGAGCATTGCGTCTAGGCAGTCTTTTGAGCAGAATATGAGCCTCTTTCCCATGAGTCCACATTTCCACAACCCCGACCCCTAGTGCCCACGCGGAACAAATGGCCATCTCTCTGTTCTTTCTTGTGTTTTCGATTTTACAGCGCAAGCCCAAACCAACGCAAAACAAAACAACAGCGATCCCCCAGCCGCGGTCGCGGCGACGCAGCGCGTTCTTTATGTCCTGGGGCACCGAGTCGGGGCGACTCTGCGACTCCGTACTCACGTGGCCCGCACGGAGCTCGAGGCGCTCCAGCCAGTCGTCCAAACGCGCCAGCAGCTCCGCCCGGTGCTCCTTCCGGGAATGGGCGACAAAATCTGCAGCATCCCAGTGGTTGGGCGGGGGGAGTTGGGGGCCGGGGGCACTGGGGGGCTTGGGTTGGGGAAGGGAAGGGCGTGTGTCATGTTTTTGGAGGGAACCTGTTGGTTGAGTTCAAAGGTCCTCTTTTGTTTGGCCCCGGTTTGCCCGGTGCTTTTCACTTCTACGTGGCTTCTTTTTCTTGGCTTTCTTGAATGTAATTTGCTGGTTCTCGATAAAGGAACTGGAAGGGGATCGTTGAGGAAACCAAATGATTTTTAAGGGCCCTTCTCTCATTCCTCACCCCCCAATCCCTAGCACTCTGGCCGGCAAACGGTCCACAAAGCAGGTCAGAAGCCAAAGACCCCGAACGGTTCTTGGCGTCTTCCGCCAAAGGGCCTTGGTCTAGCGAACCACACCTCAGGCAAAACCCTCGAAGGCTTTCTGATCGAGGTGGGCGACTGCGAGAAAGTGGAAAGGTTGCTGACCTAGCTGCACATGACAGGTCAAAATTGGAAAACCACCAAAACAAACCGCCAACTGGGGGCTGGGGGGGGGGAGGGGGCAACTTGACTGTTCAATGCCTTTGGGCAAAAGATGACACCCTGACATCAACAACTTAATGAAGGTCCCTGGTGTTGACCCACACGCGTTTGATCATAGGGACCGCGTTCGTTTACACCCAAACTTTTCATTTGCCCCTTGTGGCTCGTTGGCATAGGGGTCGAGATGAGCGGGGCCCCGATTGAATATTTGATATCCAGGCTCGCTGCAAGTGACCCGGACCCCTGCCAAACGGAAGGGCCCCCGATTTGCCAACCAAGAGTCTATTGACCGAGTCTCATAGGTCGTGGACCCTGTTTTTTCGTGGGCCAGCTGTTGCTTTCTGGCAGCTGTTTTGGGAAATGCCCATGCTGCTAGGGCCAAAGCCAAAAGAGGGGGGGTGTTGGCAAAATGATGTTTAAAGTCCACATGTCATCTCTCACCTTGGGAAAAACTAACAGAACAAGCTCAGATGGTCAACGGTCTGCAGTTCATCATCAACCTCTGAATCGAAGAGCGCTGTTGCTCTCGCATCTGTTTTTGGCATAACCTCCAGGCTGGCCATGCTCAATATCGAAGGATGAGGCGTAATCATGCTAAAGTTAAAGCTTTAAGTCAAGATCAACAATTACATACCGGCTCCTGGGACGACCTTTCCTACTTGGTGCGATCGACTGCGAGCTCCTGCAGGACGGCCTTCAGGTCCTGTTCCATGGCTAACCCGTGCCCGTCCATTAGGCCAGCGTCCTAGATCGGACACTGGCACAATCTGAGCAAACCGGCGGGGATGGGCAGCCTGCAGCTTGGTGTAGAGGGGATCCCCAAAAGTTGAGTTTTCTGTTTTTGTTTTTGTGCTTTTCTGTATGGGTGTTTCGCAAAATCAGGGACCCCTTAAGATGGTTGGTTTTCCTTTGGCTTCGCCACCCATATGAAGGCACTGTGGATGGACAGAGTCCTGCACTACTTGCTGATCTGTCTCAGGGTGCTATCCATCCCAACTGGTGCAGGAGTCCGTCCACAGATTGTCTTGAAAAAGGGAATTAAAGAAAGGTAAGCCTGCATCCTCATCACAATCTCAAGGTTTGGAGGCCTGGTGTTCCAATACAAGCAGCGCCTTCCCAAGCATGGCCCACTTGAGTTGCAAAAACCGGCATTTGAGCCTTCTTGCTTCCGACGTAGGTCCTGGTGCCGCAAAGGACTTAAGCCTACTTAATGCTGACATGGCATGTGCATTGCAACTGGAATTCCCTAGCTCCCTGGAGCCCTGATTGAAAAGCCATCTATGTGGAGAAACCGGGTCGTATTAGCATGAAACAGGGCTCAAATCAGAACGCTGCGTCTCATGCGGAATTGACCCCACACGCTGAAAGGGTCCCAACAAGGAACATGTGACGCTTGAAATCGCACAAAAACAGAATGGCGATGCAAAAGGGCCTTCGTGAGCACAGGCCATCGGCACCGCTTTCGTTCTGCTTGGCATCTTTTTGACAAACTGTGAGGCACGGATTGCGGCTTGCTAATTGGCAGGCATGGGGGCCCACTGGATCATTCCGAGACCTGGAGTGCAAGCAAAACAGGGGAGGCCAACCCATGATCCAACTGTACGTCGGCCTTGCGCTCAGTGAATTTGCAACTGGCAAATGAGGTCAGGCGGTCACGCGCCCGCGCCAGGCGCCCGGTGCGGTGCTATGCCTGCTCCTGCGGCTCCTCCTCCACTTTGCCTTTTGCATTCGCTGGCACCGCGTGCAAGCCCGCATGGATGAGGACCTGAGCAAACGCCCAAAGAAAGCAATACGCCACACCCCGATCCAGCGCAAAACTGAGCCATCCTGAAAATCCACGCGGCTGTTGAAGAAACCATCTGTCAGGTTCCATTCTGGTGGAAGGGAAGGAATCCAACATGGAAGTGCCTTCAAGCAGTGCAAGATGTCAAAACCAATTGGAGGCTGAAGGGGCCATGCCGGATCACCCCGAGAAAAACGTGGATCTTGCTGGATCTTGCTGAATCTCGCTTGATTGGTTGGAGGTTAGAGGTTGCATTCTGGATCCCCTTTTCGGACGTACAGAGGCACCGCAAAATCTGACACCCTTTGAACAGGATGCCTTCCAGGGCCGTTTGTTCAAAATCAAACCTGCTGTGTAAGAGGTTTCCAACAACATTTCGAGAATCAAAGAGCTTCTTGCCGCTCGTTTGATTGTAGCTCAAACGGAGGGGGTCTTCGAAAAGGGATGTGGTCACATTTGGCTCACCTCCAAACGGAAGAGCTATCGCGACACAAGACACCAACATGACCTGCACCTATGCTTCAACAACGAGCATAGGCCCAACATTGGCGGCTTCTCCTGAAGGTGTAAAGCACCCTTGAAGGTGTAATTACTCGCTACCCTCCAAGCAAGGAACCTAACCCCAAAAGGGGTAACTGTACTGGCGCGCTCCATTTGTTCCATCTCCAAAGGGGCTTTGATGCTATTGCATACAACGCTGCACCCCCCTACGCCCCTTGAATTACTTGGGATGCCTGATGCCCCATAGCGTCTGAAAAAGGACTCAAACCCCTTTACGGCAGTCTCCGCACATCCTGATTTTCAGCATCTCACTTTTCTTTTACTAATGCTGCGCATCCCGGAAGTCCAGTTGAGCTGATCACTCTGCATGTATCTCCTCAAGCTGCTGTCCAGACGGGTTTGCATTGGGCTCGTCTCCTCCGCCAAATCCGCTCTTCCAGATCATAACGAAGGCTCTGCGCACAAGCTGATGTTGCCCACCGTAAGGCCCAACATGTCTCTGAAACCAGCGAACTTCTTGAGCTCCAAGCCTTTCGCGCCAATGTCTGCCACGTTCGCGTTTGCGCCAAGCTTGTGCGGTGTGAACCCCCTTGCCTTCAAGGCTTGCTGCACCCACAAGCTCTTCACTTCCAGCTGGCGAATGCGGGGCCACCCCTTGCCTCTGAAAAACTCTACAGGCCGCACTGCTATCAAGCCACACCCTCATCTGCGTGGGGTGCCCAAGGAACGCCATGATCTGCTGGTAGAACAAACCCTCTGCGCGTGTTGCTGTAGACATCCAGATACTGCATCTCACTCTATGCTGGACCCTGACTAAATACCGACAATCCTGCGCAACTTGCTCACTGCCACATCAGTGTGCGTGGCCTCCCTTGTCGCATTCTTGCCGCATAGCTCATGTCTGGTTTTTCCGGCCACATACATTTGGACATCCACGGAGCGTCTGTAAACAGCTGCATCATCTTTTTGAGCGGGATCTCCTCCACATCCTTCTGGAAGGACATTGTCAGTGTTGCTGCTGTCTTGCACGCAGCCAAGCCAGAAATCCTGATCACCTATTGAACATGCTCGTCAGCCGGCCTGAAGTACATGCCCTCGTTGGTGTACTTCCTGGCCTTCTTCGAACGGGCAGACTCATCACCCATCCGGTGGATCTTGCTCTTCATCTTGGTCTCCCTGCGCGTCTGCTCGAGGAACTTGTTGACTTCCTCCTCGGGTCCACCGTTCTCTATGAGGGTGCCGGCCAGGCACTCAACCATCTGGTTCCTGCCACTCTTCTCCCACACCATGCTTTCTTCAGCTTCCACATCTCCTGCTTGGCACTCTCCTCAGCCGCTTCTCTATGGGCACTTGACAGTAGGCACTGGTTGCATCGCAGTGAAGAACACGTGTCCGATCTTGGTTCCGGTCGTGTCAATGATACGGCCTGTAGCACTTGCTGTCCAGTTCTTGAGCTCACGCAGTATCTTGCTTCGACTTCTCCAGTTGGCTTTCTTGTCACCACCCATGCGCTGTCCAGGATTTTCTTCCCTTTGGCAGTCTCCTCAGGAACGGATTTGTAGGTGTCAAAATAGTCCATCTCTGCTTGGCTTGTTCCTCCTCCTCGCAGGTGATTGGGCCATGGGTCATGCCATAGGTTTCTTTAATCTAGATCCACCATTCCACAAATGCCTTTCCTTGCCTTTGTAGTGCTTCATCCCACCATCGCCTCATCAACTGCCTCATCTGCTCTCAGGCTTGATGGTGCCGATGGTTGGTGTAGATCCGAGTAAATGGAGCTCTCACAATCTTCAAAGTCTTTTTTCGAGCGCCAGTCCAGGGGTAGTGTTCCAAGGGACGTATGCTTGGTGTCAATCAGGTAAGCGTAGCCAGTCGGGAGGGTGACCGTCTTGAAGCCCTGCTTGAACATCTTGCCTGCTGAGAGGACTCACTTGACACACCACCTTGCACGACATGCACCTAGCCATCATCTCCCAGCACTTCCAACTCCATGACCACCTTTCTTTCTATCAAGGATGTGGAGTGCATCTCCAGCGTTCAGCTTCACCTCGGATCGCGACCACTGCCCGCCCAAAGTCGGGTCGCCACGTGCTCATCAGATCCAGAGTCATACAGCACAAACTGGCCTTTGCCATAGTGCCGCTGTCCTCCACATCTGCCCACGCTTGGCGTACTCCAGGTTGCTCACTCACTAGCCCAGTTCTGGCCATACTCTTCTGCCTCGCTGTAGTCCTCCACTGGGTCCTCTGGGTCAGCCAGGTTGTAGAACACCGCGGCCGCTTGCGCAGATGAACTTGGTTGGTGTGAGGGCTGACTCTCCACAGCACCAGCACCTTTCCCTTTCTGCTTCTGGTCATTCTCCTTCTTCCGGCACTCAGCTTTCTTGTGGGCCCACTTTCAGCAGTAACCGCATTCACCTTCAAACGTCTTGATCACGCCCTTCTCCTTGCTCTTGGATTTGTTGAGCGTCTTGCCTTGTTCTTGTCCTTGGACTTGTTCTTCCCATCCTTGGCTTTCCCTTTCAATTGCTTGCCCTTGCATTGGTGTAGGCGCGTCTCGGCTCTCCATGCCCAGCGGGTTGAACTCTGCTGCAGACTGCAAGTTGTCCTTCGCGGCCTCCTGAGAGGTCTTGGAGTGTGCCGGCCGCCCAAGGGGTCTCATGCTGGGCCACCCCGTAGGGATTTACCAAGGAGCCCGGGTCTGGCAATCCCGAAGGGATTTCTGCCTGACCGGCTCCGCTACCATCTAGCGGCGCGCTCCATTTGTTCGATTCCGATTCCGCCGTCCGCCTCCTCTTTCCTGCCACTTTTCCACCCAAAAACTAAAAGCCCAACGAGCTCCGAGCTGCAAAGAGCAGTGAGGCGCCGATGATCGCGAAGATCATCATCCGATAGAAGACCAAGACCACCAAGCCGTTCAGCGCCCCCAGGGCGTAGATCATGTGGCGCTTGGTCACCAAGGCGCTGGCCACCTAGCGCCCAAGCTTTTGTTCAACGTGGGTGGCAGAAGCCAGCCTCTCACATGCTTTACGGTGTGGAAAGCCCCAACGAATGTGTTCAAGACGGATGCAACACACCAGAAACACGTGCAATTGTGGATCCCACTCAAACGGGGGATGTACCTACCACCCATTCCAACCAAATTGCTGTTTGCAGCTGCGGCTTCGCAGTATTTCGTGCCTATTCGCCCTAGCGCCTCATGATCTTTAACTGGGGATCTCAGAACACTTTTCATTTACCGCTAAACTGGTCTTCCCAAACAGTATAAAGAAGTTCCACTAGCCGCCATGTTTTATGGGCTTTCCAGTGATTCCTATAAGCAGTCATGATAGTGGATTTGCAGGGGGACTGTTTGAACCAAGCATGATTCAGCATGATGCTCAAAATGCACCAAGATGCATCCTTCAATGAATCCTGGAAAAATGAAAGCTGATGAAAGCTGAAAGGGTCACGGGGATAGAAGCTGCACCCAGGTTTTGGGCTACCACCAAATCCCCAAGCCGCGAACCAAAAATGGCCTAGAGTGTTGCGCCCGCTCCTTTCTTCTCGTATCCAAAGGCACGCCAGGCGGAAACAACAAGAAACAACTCACTTCCTACGTGGCTAGGCTAGGCTGGACAAGTTCAGACTGGTCGTTTACCGCGGACATGATGGTCTCGCAACGCTGCAAGACCCAACTAGCCAAAACAAGACAAACACACCCGCCAGGAACGGCTCCCAGCCTGAACCCTGAGGTGGTTGGGCCGAGTGAGCAGCCCATACCACAGGCCGGAGAAGACGCAAACCAGGACCTCAAAAGGCAACAAAAAGGTCGTTAGCCGGGATGGAAGGCAAATGTTTGAAGGCCATGGCTGGTACGATTGGGAAGCTGAGGCCAACGAGGGAAGATGTCCTGAGGCCCTATGTCAAACAGAATGAGGTTCTTGTTTGCGTGGTTTGAGGTGGGAAGCTCCCGACGAAGCTCGCTTCGGCCAACCTCAGCCGAGCCTTAACCGCACCGAGGCACCAAGAGCTGAGGATAAACAACGATGGCGGTGAGGGCGAAGATCGCCAGGCATACCTCAAGCGCGAGCATTCGGTGCGGCAATGCGCGCAGCTACATGGACCTTGCCCTCTAACCAGGCTAAAGCACCACGCCAGCGCCAGGCCTGAAAGGAACCCTCTTTGGCAAATGGCCCAGCCTGTTTCTGCGGCAAACCAAACCAAATTCTGCCAAAGGCTCCGCATAGTTCACGCAGAAGTAGTCCAGGTTCGCTGTGATGCGAGGCAGCACCTCTCCAAGAAAGCCCCACGGTTGACTTCCGTTGCCTTCCGAAATGTCTTGCCTTTCGAACAAACCGGAAGGGGAAGCAGTTGCCAACCAACATGTGTGGCTTTCGGGAATGTTGCAATCCTGGTCACCCTCCCCCCAAACAAAAAAAAAAGAAGAACACACAACAGCTATCCTCGCCCTCCCCCCCCCTCCCAAAAAATGCAAAAACAACGAAACAACGCAGAAAAGGCCATCCTCGCCTACCCCCCCCCCCACCCCCCACCCAAAACAAAAGCACACACAAAACAGAAAACAAACAATGGCAGAACACACATCCGCAAGGGGACTGTCACAGCCGAGCCAAAGCCACAGCTGCCTCCTCAGGCTTGGGGACGTTGAAAACCTCCCCTGCGCTTTTGCCGATGCACAGGAACTCCGTGTCCCACTTCCGGATCCGCTTCAAGAAGGACTCCACCTGCATCAGAGCCAACCCTGAAAAAAAAGGCCGTGTTTGAGCGGCTCGCCTTTTTCTCACGTACACCAAAGCCGGAGCTCGGCTTTCTGTTTGGTGTCCCTGGAAAACCGCAGACAAGGGGTCCCCGCACAAAGAGACACACCCAATTGGGTGGTTTGGAGCCCTGTGGTTTGGAGGTTAGGGCCCATTTGTCAACAAGATCCAGGGGTTCAACCCCGGAAGCCACCTACCCTGCTGGTTGACATGAAACCCCAAAAACGGCCCCCATCGACCCTTTTTTGGGGAGCCTCCTTTAGCGTCCACCATTTCGGGTTGAATAGCATTCTTTGGGTTAAACATGTTCAGAAAGCACATGCTGCCATTAAAGTTGCTGACAAAAGACCAAAAAAAAGCGAAAACAAAATAAGCTAGATAAGGAAGCAACTAACGAACACAGAACAGCCAACGCAACAAGTACAAGAACCAGCACCCTTCCTGTGACGCGTTGGGCGATTTGACCTGTTTAAACCCCCGAACTTTGGAATGACCTAAAGGAGGACTGCACCAGTCAAAACCCAGCGAGCTAGAAGAAGGTGCCCAGGATTCATTCGCTCCTCATGCATCCGAAGTGGACATGACAGCGCTACGGCGGTCTCCCAGGAAGCCTGAGGCCTGGATACTGGCCTTATTAAAGGACATCCTTACAAATTCTCTTCCAGCTGGCTTGAAAGAAAACCGCCTGGTCCAAAAAATGCGATTCTGAGCCAGCCGGCTAGGAGTTTTGGACACCCTGCCTTCTTTAAAAAGGCAGCTGAGGACATGGCGCCCACAATCTTTGCCGACACGCCCGAGGTTGCTGCAAAAGAAGCCGCGGCGAAATGACAAATCATCGCAACTCACAACAGCGTCCCGGTCAGCACCGAAACTAAACTCATCAATGGCATGATGTTAAAACCACACAAAAAGGGACAGAGGGAGCCAGGGACAAAATGAGGCGTGTGTACAGGGCGCCACCTTTGAAAGGGGGTCACAAAATGATCCCCCCCCAAAAAAAAAGGCAATCATCCCCATTTCTGAACAACCCTAGAATGATCAGGCACCCCCCAGGTGACATCCTTCCCCACGTGTCTTGTGCTGTGCTCTGGCAAAAAGCTTGTTCTGACACCTTGCCCATACTGATGGAAAGAAACCACAAGCTGCACTTGGAATAGCAACAGTTGGGATGGGTGAAGCCCGCTTTGAATACAGGTTGGTACACGATGTATAAATGGTGCAAGTTTCTGTCCACAGTATGTTTGGCAGAACCTGAAGCAAGCCCGCTGTCACCTGTCCCCGTCCGTCCATGTTTGTTGGAAGCAGGGTACCACTTGTCTTTTCCAATAGCTCGCGGCAGGCGAATGACAAGCCGGCAGCTGATGGTCCATTTTGTCCCAAGAAACATATCCGTTCGCCTTGGCAAACACTCCGAACGGCCTTGTGAGGAAGAAGCAACAGTACAATTTAGCATGGGTACATTCTGCCAAATGGAGAAGGGGGGTTGATGCCCCCTACCTTGGTGGTAGAGTGGGAATCATCAGGGGTTGGAATGTCCCTTAATCATAGCACTGCCCCTGGGACCCCCGGTGTCCTTGTGATGCCATTTAGGCGGCTCTTCAGGGAGTTTGCACAGTAAGGGGTCTTTGAATTCCTGCATGTCAACTCACTTCGCATGCGCGGCGTAAAGCTGCACACGCTATGTCTCTCAGCTATATGTAGAATGTAGAGACGAGAGGCAATGCTGCGATCCAACCAGACGATTTGTCTGATCTCCGCCTATGCAAACCGCGAACCATGCAATTGAGTGCATGCCATTGCCCTGATTGCCATAGACCACCCGATGATGATGACTATGATGATGATAATGATGATGATGATGGTGATGACGATGACGATGACGATGACGATGATGATGATGATGATGATGATGATGATGATGATGATGATGATGATGCCGATGACTCCCAAAACTTCCCTGTTTGGTTTACCCTCTTGTCTTTCCGTTTGGCGTGTTTTAGTGGGGCGGAGGGTGGGGGGTGTAGTTGGGCTCCAGGCGTCTGAGCCTCCTCCACCTTCGGGGCACGCCCCTGGGGCCGGATCCTCGCGTGTGCCGCATGGGTTTGACGCCCGTTTGGGGGGTGTCAATTTTTAGGAATCAGCACCCCCCCCCCCCCAAAAAAAAAAAGAGCAAAAGGCAAACGAACAGGGTTTCTGTTTGCCTTTTCTGGTTTCCCTTGAAAACTACCCAAAACAAACAAACAACAAAAGCTTCAAAATAAAGGCAACCCCTTTCGTTGAGGGTACCAACCATTGTGTGTGCTTGAAAGGGAAGCCCAGAGAAAACAGCCAGCTTGACATGTCTGTTTTGAGACGCACCCGAAGGAGCATCATGCTCCCCCTGCAAATTGACATGGAATCCCCCAAGAGGAGTTTCCTCTACGAATCATGGCTCTTTCGGGCTTCATGTTCCGAGCAGAAGCCGGGTGTGTCAAGGCGGTCCAATGGAAACTCATTGGCAAGCCCGCACGGATTTATGAGGGATGCCATTTCGGTCATTCACTTGGGGAAAACGACCCCTATACAGTCCCACGGGTGATTCATCCAAATTCGACACCCAAAAGGGGCATGGTTCAAAACAGGCCCCCACGGAACCCTAATGGAAACTCAAACCTGCGGTCCCGTGGACCCCAAATCTGAAGTGACATCAAAACCATGCGCAGAAACGCGCAAAACAGCTGCAAACTTGGTCCAAACACTTATGCAAAGATTGAACTGTCTAAGGCAAATGCAGGAACCTCTCTCCCCCCCGCGCTTCTTTGCGGACAATACAGCTGGCTGTACCTTTCACCATTGCCCCTGTTAAATGGCGTTCCTTTGGAGCGTCTCCGACTTGCCCACATTCTTCAACGGCTTGCCCAGTGAGATGATTGGAAAATGAGGCTGTTTGTGCCAGGCTTCGCCACGCCCAGGGTACACCATACGCTATGTTGTTTGAGGCAAGCGACCATGACCAATTTCGGCCCAGCTCTCCATCGACTTAAACAGTTCATGTTACACAACTTGTCCTTGCTACCATCTACCACCCCCTCTAAGTTTGAGACTGGCTGCCCACAGCCCGAACCCAGCCTTTTGCTGCCAGCCTTCTTGCCAGCCTTCTTGCCTGGACGCTGGGTGTGGAGTATGAGCTCAAGCGCATAGCCTTCACAAGGAATCCAAACGCATGCTTTTAAAACCAAATGGCGAACGTTCAGATACAAGCCCTACCTGCCTAGACTTTACATGCTGATTTGATGCACCATTGGCGGGCTTCCAGTCGCCATGCCAGGCAGTTACGCTGCCAAGGCGCTTGGTTGGCTGCAAATCTCAGAACCAAGCTGGCATGTGTGACATACATGCATGCTGTGTTTAAAGCACAGCATGTCACACATGCCACAACGCACAGCCAGCACGGCAAATGTCACGTGCATGCACGCATACATATGACATATATGCGCACAACCATACGTACAAATACATCAGAGGGACCTCAGTTTATGCCCCTCACTTGCAGCCCTTGGGTCACCCCTGAAGGACACATGTCCAATTCGATTGCGCGAATGACCCAGCAACAACTTACAGGATTCTAGGGCAAAGGGTTGTGTTCTTCAAGAAGGCCTAAAAGCATGCATCAACGCATGTACATATATGCACATATATGTTAGTATGCGTGCATGGTATGTATCTACATATGTATGTAATGTCGGTATGTCTGTCTGTCCGCCAGCGCATGTGTGGATGGATGCATGCCTGCCTACATGCATGCACGCATGTGTGGATTGATGCATGCATGTATGATGTGCGCATATATATGCATGCATGAAGTAGCTGAGTTCTGCACGCACCTCTGCGCATAACGCCATTCATGACAAGGGCGCCACGAAACATCCTCCGCAGGCAAACACGAGGTTTCTGGGAACGCGACGCTCCCTTGAAACAAGTGTGACACCCCTTCTCAGTTCGCAACTCGGCCTCTGAACTCGACCAAGAGAAAACCATGTGGCATGTGCGTGTTCATTGTTGATATTTTGGTGATGTCCTTCGGTTGATCCATTTCTCAGGGTGTCCTAAAAGATAGCCATGGTGGCAGCAGTGTCTTCATTGACTAGCAATTCTATAAACAAAATGCTATAATTCCAAAAGCTGAATTAAGGGATCTCCAAGCAAAGGACCTTTACCTTTGTGAGCTCGTTATACCCCCAGGCCCCCCAGGTGATCTCGCCATAAAATCGGCAGAGCAACGCGCCGCCAGCGCCACAACCGGCACCGGAAGAGAGCCTGGCCAACAGCAACAGCGACACATTTGCCTGGCTACGGGCGGGCATTTTTGCTCCCTAGGTTCGGCAGAAGTTTTGCCTTTTTTCTCCTAGGTTCGGTGGGGAGTACAAGCCGTACTTTAATTCTGGCATTTTGTACCAACATACACCTGTTTTAGACCAGCATCGTTTGTAACACCCACAGCGATGTGTTCAACATTCCCGGCATCGCCAAAGGCTTTGGCTTAGGTTGGCTTAGAGCCTGCTGTATGGGTTTGGAGTTCGTTTAGTGCCGGCTTAGGGGTTAGGCTTAGCTGGGTTTGGGGTGCATTTGGGTTCGGTTTAGGCTGGGTTTAGGCTTGTTTGGGGACGGCTTCTTGCTGGTTGGTTTGGGGCTGGCTTCGGGTTGGTTTAGGGTTGGTTTAGGGTTGGTTTAGTGTGGTTTAGGGTTGGTTTAGGGCTAGTTTAGGGTTGGCTTAGGGTTGGTTTAGGGTGGGTTTAGGGTTGTAAAAGGGTTGCGTACGGTCGTTAGGGTTGGTTTAGAGTGGGTTTAGGGCTGGTTGAGGTTTAGGGTGGCTTGGGGGTGGTTTAGGGTGGGTTCAGGGTGCCAGTTTAGGTTGGGTTTAAGGTGCATTTAGGGTTTGCTCAGGGTGGGTTTCGGGCTGGTTTTGGGTGGGCGTAGGGTTGGTCTACAGCTGGTTTGGGGTTGGTATAGGGTAGGCTCAGGGTTGCTTAGGGTTTTTAAGGCTGGCTTCGGGTGGGTTTAGGGCAGGTTTAGGGTTTAAGGTTTGCTGATGAGGTTTTCGTTTTGTGGTTTTAGGCTGGGTTCAGGTTTAGTTTAAGGTTGGCTTGGTTGTGCTCGGGGTAAATTTAGTGGCAACCGACCGACTGATCGACCGGGGACCTGCCAAACCTCGGAGAAAAGCAAGTCCAGCATCATGTTTTGAGTCTAGATCTTCAAGATGTTCGTGTGACCCTGGGTTTCGATTACTTGGCGTGAATAGGGGCATGCTTCCCCAAACCTATCCGGACAGCTCCTGCCTTGCCATCTTCGCAAGGCTGCGTCGCGTGGGCGGGTGCAGATGCGCGGTCTCACCTCAACAGGCAACGCGCACGCTCTGGAAGTCTGAGCCTCCTCACCCAACATGCCACGATGAGCAGCAACCTGTTTGCCCTCCAAAGCCGAAACAACAGCCACCACGTGCAAGAATCAACTTTCGACCAAAACAGCAAACTCCTTTGGCCTGAAGTCATGCGTCCGAAGGCTTAGGCACCAACTGGCATGGTCGCCAAGGGCACACCCTGAGAGAAAAGGCGAGGCAAGATCTGAATTCGGCCCTCTACCGTCCCTGATGCACATGTTGACACCACGTTTATCGACACAGCGCCTTTATCAATAGAATGGCTCACTGAGTGCATTGGCCAAAACCAAGCCTAAGCTGCTTTGTACGACTAAGATGGTCTTCCTCAACAGTGACTAAAGTCCAACTCAAACAGCGAGATGCAGGAAGCTTAGGCCAAAGCTCCGGCGACCAGAGCCATGAGAAGTTGGATGCCGCGCGATGGGAGCTGCTTGCGCGCCGTTCCGACTGCTTGAAGTGCTACGGTTCAGGGGGAAACTCCAAAAGTAGATGGTGTGATGGTGTGTGCACAAACATCTTTGCTTTGCTTGGATCCTTCTGGCACCTGCCCTCAACCACCTCTCTTTCAATTGCAAGTCATAGCATCCCACTTCGCTGTCGCAGACTGGCAATCGCTAGGCTGTTCATGAAGCGTTTAAGGCTCTCGAGCCATATGATTCACATTGGCACATTCCCTACCAGGGACAAACACCCATTCTCCCATAAACCCTCCGAAGGCGGGGGAGGGGGGTTTTAACCGACCGACCTTCCAGCACAGCGAGTCCTTCACGCTAGACCCCAAGGCGCTACGAACGTTTGTCTCACTTCATGAATGGATTGGCCGAGAATAAAGAGAGACGAAACCAAACGTTTGCAACACTAAAACAACAAAGTCGTCATCTGGCAGCTCCGGAACTGCAAGGCGGTGGTTTTGACTTTGACTCCCCTTCCAGAGCGGCCGGCTCGAAGCCAAGGGAGGGATGTGGATGGACACAAGTCCCCGCCCTGGAACAAGGCCGAAGTGAACGCTGGCTGAAGAAGCATCAACTGGTGCAGGATGTTGTAAATCCACAAGGCGGACATTTCTTATCCGAGCTCTGACTTCACAAACCTGGAGAGACGGGGGCCCAGTGTCGATTCTCATCTGCCGACCATTGTCAAGAGGCTTCTATATTCACAATGCCACTTTGGGGAAACCAACAGGTTAAAAGGTCGGCTTTGGACAACTGCAACAACGACAACGTGAAGCCCATGCCGAGCATTTGCAAAAGCCAAGGAGCAAGCCATCTGGGTTCGGTTCCCTATATGCCCCCAGGGAGAGACTGGTTTCAAAAGATTTGAGGATTGATGAACAACCTTACTGAATGTTTGCGCGTGTCTGCGAAACTAAGTTTGAACATGACGTGGACCAGCTGATCCCTGAAATCATGCAACAAAATTATAAGTTCATGACATGTAGGGCAAAACAGCCGGAAATGATCCCCAGCACCCCACATGAAACAGCAACACATGACCACTAGGGCCTGAAGACACAAACAAACACGCCACTATGGTTCCGCCTGGGTGAGACGGGCGGGGGTCGGAAGTCCCCACTATCCCAGTCCCTTCAAATAGGAAGGAAATGCAGCCTCCCAATTCACACGGAACCCGACGTTTTGGGGGGGGGGGGGGGTGCTAGTTTGGACCATTCTCCTTTTAAAGGGAGCCCCCTGTCAGGTTCCATGCTGATTGGTGGGAGCGTACGTCTCAATGGAAAATTCAGGGCCCACACCCGAAGGGATGAGTATCACGCAGTAGGTTTGTGAAGGAGAGCAAATGGAAAAAGGCTTACGCCTGCTTGACACCCTCACGAGCAACCGAATGCAGTCTTAAGGGTTTGCCTAACGAAGCCACAAATTATTCTGAAATAATTTGAAATAATATGTCCAATTGAAATTTAATTGACATCCTCTTGAAAAGGGAACCCAGTTCAAATTCTAATAGAATGACTACTAAAAACAAAGACTTGAAAAGCAAACCCATCACGCCTTTAAACTCTAATCTAAAGCCATATTTGACATGTGCTTGAAATCTGCTTTGAAATGAAACTGAAATCAGAAGAATGTGTTTCTTGTTAACTTGTGTTTTAACTCTTTTTGTAAATGAAGACATCCTTCTGGGAAAGGACATCCCCTTTGAAATCTAATTTGAAAGGACTAATTGAAATTTGTTTAAGCAGAAGCTGGAATCTCTACTAGAATCCCGTCCTTAGTAAATGTTCATCCAACACGTGAAAACTGAATTACAAAGGCTCAGTATTGTTGAAGTGGAGTATTCAAATGATTGACACCAAAGTGGATGCAGTACTGTTCAAGCAAAGCTGCCATATTGAAATCAGCTTAGATCGGCGGTGGGGTTGGTGTTGAAGCAGACTGGCCAGATGATGTGGAACCAAGTTGGCATGCATCCTTGGAAACAAGTGCCTTGTAGAAAACCCAACCTCCCGAAAGGTTCTCTCCAAAACAATGAGCGGTCTCCATTTCATGGGTACCATCCCAAATGGACCACGCACCCAGGCAACCTCCGGCCATGCTTTTCAGCGGTGAACTCCTGCCAGCAACTGGAGCGGGCCCCGCCGCCGATGGAACGGCCTTCGCGGGGCCACGGGGGGGGGGGGGGTCCTTTTTTTGAGGCTCCGCACCCCTTTTTGGTTGGTATGTTTGAGAGAAGCCAAAAAGGCAAACCTACCCTCTTCATTTTGCCGGGGTGGGATGGGGGGGGTCCCCCAAAAAGGACATAATGTCCAAATGGGATTAAACATTGCACGCGTAATAAAGACAACTGGGGGGCCCAAAAAAAATAATAAATGCACCTGGATTAAAGACAAGCACCCGCCACCCGCGCAAAAAATAAATCACCCCCCCAAAAAAAAGAAAGAAAGAGAGAAAGGAGAGGAGAGATAGCCAAGCCAACACCTGGTCCTTGGATCTTTGGCACCTTGTTCCTTAAATCCAAAACTGTCAGCTTTACCAAACCCATGTTTTCTTACATGTCTCTTGTTTAAAACCTGCCCATACTTCAGCCCCCAACTTGACATTATTTCAGGGGCCCCCGAAATAAAGTCTTGTTGCCTGGCCCCTGGAAAATACAACCTGCCCAGTGCAATTGCCTCTTAGCTAGTCAAGTAGTCAAACAGCCTAGGTGAGGCTGGAAGTGCTTCATGCTGTGTTGTTAGATTTGGGCCTGCTCCTCAAATCCAAAATTGTCAGCTTCACCAAACCCATGTTTTCTTACATGTCTGTTGTTTAAAACCTGCCCACAATCAAACCCACAAAGGGGGTAGTACTTCAGCCCCCAACTTGGCATTATTTCAGGGGCCCCCGAAAAAAAGTCTTGCCTGGCCCCCCCAAGAAAAATAAATGGAAGCTCCAGCAATACTAAATCAAATGGAAACTCAAGTCTACCAATACTAAATCAAATGGAAACTCACGTCACCTGGATCTCAAGATACTATTCCAGGTACCCCCATCGTTGAGGGGGGGGGGTCCCCCCTTTACTAATCCCATTTGGACATTACCCCTGCTTCCGGCGCGAGGCAACAAATCGCCAAACATGTCCCCTTCTTCTGTTTTACGCAAGGAACTCGAAAAAGGCCCGAATTTAAAGGAGATCCTCGAAACACTTTCTGGCGCAGGGTGCATCTTTTGGAGCCCCCAAATACTGGAACCAATAGGTCCGATATGGTCGATTCTTTTAGAGAATCCACCTGAGCGCGGGGGTTGAAGCTTTGCCATTTATTCTGGGGTCATGGGACGGCAACTGGCCCACAAGAGCAATAGACCTGATACCAGAAGCATTTGATGCAGCTAAACAAAAGAGTGAAACTGTCACAAGCAAGCCACGTATCCTTAAAATGCCCCATCTGGCCGTTCCTTGCCAGCTGGTGGCAAACCAGGCAGTTGCAACTACTGAAGCATGTAACTACTGATGCATGTGTGACAAATGAAGAGGAAGTCCGGAGAGGAACTACAGGTATCGGCCTTTGTCGGAACCCTGGTTCTCCTCCGCGCCGCAGCAGTTGCAAGTTGCATGGCTGACAGCATCATATATTTTCCCCAAATGATTTCACACATACGCTTCCAACGATTGCACGCGCATCTCTTAATCTTTTCGATTCGCAGCGCTCAGACCACAAATGCTGCCTGCTCCCTCTCACTGAAGTGGCTCAGGTTCAAGCCGTGCTAACGTCTTGCATGGTGCACAGCAGCCGGTGGTTGCTTCGCCGCGCAAACATGGACGGCTGTCGCAGCACCCACCCGCTGCCGTGATTGAAAGGCTCTGTGAGAGTCGTGGCCCTCTACGTCATGGACAGAATCTTTCATGCCGATGTCGCACGGCTCCACATGTTGCCACCCTAGAAAGATTGCAGGAGGACTTAAAACCCAAAAACACACATTCCAACTTGGAAACTGCAATGTGCGGCTTGCCCTCAAGGAATTAGGGAAGCTGATTTTGCGTACTCGCACATGACAATCAACATTGCTCTGCCAAAGCTGCTCCCCACATGCTGTTCATGGGCAACATGAGCTTCAATCCGGCTACCCGGAAGGATTTGTGGCTCCTGCCGCCGACGAAAAAACGTAGACTTGTGGATGTTGATACGGGGGTGTGTCTTTGTTTGAGGCCGCACGGTACCCTTTTTTGGTTGTGAAGAGCAATGAAAGGGACAACACCCGCTCTGGGGAATCTAGTTTGAGACAAATCCGTATGCTCACTAGGGAAACGCACACATTTCCAGACTCAAACAAGCCTCGACTCAAAATAATGGGCACAAGCGAAATGAGGTCAAAAGCTCGACTCAAATGCAGAACAGTTTCTTCGAGAGAAGAAAGCTAGCCTACAAACATAATCATCACTTTGGGTCAACACTTCACGAAGCAAAAGAAGAAATGCCTTTGCAAACCCTGGAAATCCCTTCCATCTCCCCGTTCTTGAAATATGCCCCCCATTTCTTCGCCTACGCAATCAAACCCAAAAGGAAAACCACTGATCCAACAGGGCCAAGCCCAGGCGCCTGGGCCAAGCCCAGGTGCCTGGGTTGCACGAGGCAAGGCTCACTGATAGCAAGTCCACGACGCCTTTGGAAATTGGGCCGGACGTGCCGATGTTCAGAGATTGGCTTTGGGTCCCTGTCATTCGATTCCATCCTGAGACGTAAAAACGCATCACTGAACACCGTCAAAGACTTGGCTACGCACTGGTGTGCAAGGTTCACCCCAACCTGCACATGGCCAGTGCGCCACCTGCCCACCGCCAAGTTGAGTGAGCAGGCACCTACGAGATGAAACCTGCAGGATAAGTGCATAGATAGTCGAAAAGTTTGAGGCTTGTTTTCCCGCACTTGCCCTTGTGGTGCAAGAACTGGTCAGATTTGTTGGAAGC